CCTGACCCGGACCGTGACCAAGTTGGTGCTTGACCTATTCCCATCCCTCTACCACTTGAACATCATTGAACTTTGGGGTTCTTATGCTAACCTGGCTTGCCAATGTCAAAATGAATAGGACACTCAGACTCGGATGGCGATACTATCGTCTCTCCTACTTTTACGACCAACCGCTCCACGGAGCAAGCCGGACCTTATACAGACAAGCCCGTGCTCACCAGTAAGTGAAGTGATGGGCGGGCTCCCTCCTCACATTCACACATACGCACATACACCTTCTCTGTCAGCAACACTCTTTGTGTGCACCCAAAGGCTGCAATTGATCATTAACTCTCTGGCACAACGCGCTTTACTTTTTTTATAGCTTACCCGAGCCAGAAGGGCGTCAAGCCTTTCAAAATGGACTGGGGTGCTGCTGATCCTCAGGTTCGTGGTCCAGTTGTAGCCTCTCATCTCGCCAACTCAATTAACATCAGGTATGTCCAGTGTACTAGCAGAATGATGAATCAAAGATAGTATGATGTATTCTGACTCGAGATACTCACTCATTCGCTCATACTCTTTGTTTATAGAAATGCAATTGGAGCCTATGGCGGGTCGTACTCTATCTATCGTTCATTGGCTGTGGCCATGGGTGACCTCCCTGCGGATGTAAGTAAACTTTAACAGTAATTATGCTATGCTTGTCATACCCTGGACGCGCCACTCGTGCTCACACTCTTTTTATTTTTATTTTTTTTCATGCATGGACGCGAAATAGCATAAGCCCAACTTTGACTACACACAGCCCCCAGTCAAGATTGCGCAACAGCCCCAGTGGTCGGACCCTACAAAGATTGTCTCTCTGGATCCCTTTGGCCATCTGACAAGCCAGTACTTCAAGTCGGAAATCGAGGAGCAAGGTATTGATATTCGTCCAACCATCGCTATTACGCGTGCCCATATGCTCGTGCCTGAGCTTCAAAACGAAATCAAAGACGGCTCGATGAGAGTTGATGGCAAGGTTATTGTCAGTGAGACAGGAGAAATCAATGTGCACAAGGCAGCCGTCGACCCTGTCTGGTTCCTTCCGGGAGTGGCCGCTCGTCTGAATGTTGAGGAGGAGCTATTGAGACGCTCGCTCTAGTAAGCCATTACTCTAAGAATCCGAATATTGAGCCGCACTGTCGAAATTATCGGTACTTTATTAACTTGCATATTTTTTTTTCTTTTTTTTTTCGTGTCTCCTTCGGAATAGTGAAAACACCGGAGGAATGTATCCCGAGTTGATCTCGCGACCTGACCTTAAAGTGTTCCTGCCACCAATCGGAGGTCTAACTGTGTATATCTTTGGTAACCATGAGCTGCTTTCGGACCCCAATACACGTCTTACCGTTCGTGTTCATGATGAATGCAATGGTTCGGATGTCTTTGGCTCGGACATTTGCACTTGCCGCCCTTACCTTATCTACGGCATGAAGGAGTCGATCAAGGAAGCCCAGGACGGAGGTGTTGGTCTGATCGTTTACTGTAAGCAGTTCGTCTAGTATATCAAACATTATTCGTTACTGTCAAGTCATTTTCCGAGAAAAGGTACTAACTGATATCACATTTCACATCCCCTCTAGTCCGAAAGGAAGGAAGAGCTTTGGGTGAGGTCACCAAGTATTTGGTGTACAATGCCCGTAAAAGGGCCGGTGACTCTGCTGCCAAGTACTTTCAACGAACCGAGAACGTGGCAGGCGTGAAGGATATGCGCTTCCAGGCATTGATGCCTGACGTTTTCCACTGGCTTGGAGTAACAAAGATTGATCGCTTCATGTCTATGTCGAACATGGTAAGAATCGGTCTTTTTTTTCCCCCACAGAACGATTGACATCCTGTATCATTCTCGTACTTATATATATTTCATCCCTTCATAAATAGAAACACGATGCTCTTGTTGAAAACGGAATCAAGATTCTAGAGCGCTGCCCTATTCCCGATGAGCTGGTTCCCCCAGATTCCAAGGTCGAGATGGAGGCCAAGATTGCTGCAGGATACTTCACAACAGGCTCCATTCCACGCGAGGAGGATCTCACACATACAGTTGGTCGTGGCTGGGAAGAGTTCCAACATTAAGCGACGCTCGAACCCTCAATGTTGAAAACAATACCAATTTGCGTGTTTGTAGGCTGCCAAGATGTGAAAAGGTGACCCGTGTATGATCACTGAAGGCGGTTTATAGACCACGATGTATTATGTCTATCGGATAATTCGTCTCTGGCCTGTTGGCAATACAATCTATGGAAAGACAACTTGACAAATTTTAGTAAAATTTAATCAATAAACAAGTCAAAACTCAGAAATGCAATGGAAAGCCTGACTTGGGAACCGCACCCAAAGTTGTCGTTTTTTTTTGTAACAATGAGGTGCTCTACACGGGTTCCAGACTTTTTGACCACTAGTACCCGCACTTCAAGAGTGGGTAGCTATGGCATACCTCCCCATGTAACCAGTTGTTCATATTCATTGTCTCTTATATAGCGTCTATCAATGGCACTTTCCCAACTACTCAACCTCTCCATCATATCTTGAAACACTCTGCTAATAATGTTTTCCAATTTTGATACTGACATATGTTCTAAAGGCTATCGTTGATTCTGGTGTTTTGTCTCCACTTTGTATATTACGCTCAAGCATCTAGCCTGACGACAAGAACCATAGAGAGGAATACGTTGCGTTTTCTAACTTGATGGAGAAACTTGACATTGCCGACAAGGCTGCTGCGAATGAATCCTCATTTCTGGTCGAGTCGCAACATATATGCTAGACCCGACAAAGGAAGTTTTAGAACGCCTATGAAGCGTTTCTCAAGAGATTTAAGAATTAAACCTGCAGATCTGTTGTGGACCAGAGATCTTTTACCTTTTTCTTTTAACTAGGGAGGTTGTCAATAAAGAGCACCATCAATCTTTCCCGTCATCTACATCCTCCACTAAACAGTACAACTTTTTGATTTGATTTGTGTGTTGTCATGTGTCCTAGACGCTACTGAAAAAGATGAAAACTTGGTGATTTTCGTGATGATGACTAGACTGGCTGTCAGCTCAAACCTTCTACGCTCAAGATCGTTCGGTTTATCCGCCATTGCAATATCCATTTCCGATGGTTGCTGATCGTTGTCAGCTGTTTCATGAATTTCAATGGGGATTGCCCACCACCTAGCGAACGTAATGAGTTCCTCCTGCGCCACCATATCTACCTTTTTCTTAAACAACTATAGGCACTGAATAATCCAATCTGAAGTAGCTGAGACTAGCCTTGCAGTAGCAATCCTGCACTAACCGTTTTTTATTTAAAAAAATTGTTTCCACTGGAATAGCTGTCTAGGCTAAGACTAAACTAATAAACCAATCTAGCCCCGCGTAACCTTTGCCATCCTCCACTGACTATTTTTTTTTAACAATCTGTCTCTGCAGAAATAGCCGTGTAGGTCCTCCACTGACTACAAGAGCCCACATGGCCAATGGCCCACGAAACGAGGTCGCAAACGGCGGGTGATACATAGTATATACTAGTATATACGTTAAAACTATCGGTGACGTAGATATTATATCATTAAAAATTCACTATTGCATCTCATTGAAATTCCAGACTTTCACGAATCAAAGTCAATATGGCCGAGCGGTTAAGGCGTATGACTCGAAATCATATGGGTTCTCCCGCGCAGGTTCAAATCCTGCTGTTGACGCGATATTTTTTGCCTTTTGTCATCAGGCCAACAGCTTCATTTTGCATCCGACTTACGGAGGTGTGGAGGGCCCCAGGCTTCAATGAGGCAATTTTTTTTTTTACTCAATCGATAGAGGAGACTGTTTCGTGCAGGATTGCAAAATTCTGGAAGCCGGGACCCCAGGTTAGGAAAAAATCTATTTGACAACCATGTTGCTATTCAATGCGTGGCAGTCCCCTCTCTCTTTTACATGGAATTAGTGCGGAAAACCTTACATGTAGTCAGTACTAGAAGGTTACACGGAGTTAGTAGGACGCCGCTTTTTTCGGTTTTGTGCCCAAGTGACTCCAGTTCGGGGCCCCATTACTTGAAACTTTGCCATGTGGTGAACGGTGGTCACTGCCATCGATAGCAAGCAAAAAATAGCCTTGTCGATACTCTAGATTAATTTTTTTCTTGTTTTTTCTGAATAACTCTCAGGAGTGGGATGTGAGAATGGAATTCAAAGGTAGGGGGGAAGAGCCCATTGACTAGTTGGCTCCAGAGGCAATTAGGAGTTGAGACTTAATGATTCTCAGGACTTTCACAAAAAAATGGTTTCCATTCTAACTCGGTGTAAGGTGTAAGGGTAGTGGGTTGCCACGCATTAAATAGCAACCCGGTTGTCAAATAGCTTCACCCCAGGTTGGAGCTTTTATGGCACTTACACTTTCCAGTATAATTCTCTTGTAATTTCTTCTCACTAACTTTGTGTATATTTTTCCTACAAACTCCGAAGGGGAGGGGATCGTACGTCGGATAGTAACCACAAAACCGCTCGTTTGTTGACTAACGAACAAGCTGGGTACTGAGGCCCGGGTTCGTTTAAATTGGTGCTTAGCACCAAGACACACCTCAGATACCAAACTTCATCTTTTGACCTTGCGTATTGCTGAGGATACTTCTTGGGGCCACACTTTATGCTTGCTCGGCATTAATGACGCACATGGATGCCTATTTCGCAAAGATCGTTTTCAATGCCTTGAAGTCTTCTAGTTTTCCGACTCTTGCTATCTCCTTTGCAATTTTCCTAGCTCTACAGCAGTGTAACCTGCAGTGCCAACCCAAAAAATATAGTCTGGCACACTTTCTCATTTGGTAATGCTCAGGTGTATGCTGGTGCTTAAACAATAATTCCAACAAACTCTTTTTTACGTCTTTTTTATTTATGGGTCTTCTTTCAAAAGTTATACTTGTCGACGCGTATCTACCGTAGGATCTGTCGTCTCAAGGCTTCTCTGGTGTCCTGATTCTCTCTCTTGGTCATTTTATCAGCTTGTTCCCCCTCTCCTCTTTTCGGGCGTTTGAGATTTATAGAGTGACTCGGTCAATGTGGCATTTCCAAATAGCTTTAGATCATCTCCTGTTACTTCCTCAGTCCAATCCAATGCCTAGCGTAGCAAATAGGGGCGCTTTTGAAGGTGGGGGGTACATTGAGTCTCGATGACGGTTGTGCTGCAGTTAAACTCCTGCCTCCCCCCCCCCCGGGTCTTCAGCGTGCATCCATCGCACGTTCTGCAGACATGCCAACCAATGAACTTCATTTCTATCTTATGGAGAAGGAGGATAGAAGGTAAAACCGGAAACAAGATAACAATGTAAAAAAGGCGAAGAGTCTACTCAACAATTCACAGTAACAATCTTTCAGCCTTTTGCACCCGAGCTGTGTGAAAGCAGTAAAAGTGGATCCAAGGAGCTAAAGTCCAACAGCTGTTTGAGAATAGCAACAACAACCCATCACAGTCGTTATCTTCCTGCACTTGGCGCTTGTGGGAATCTCCCACAAGCATAAAGGGTTTGAGTAATAGGAAATGACGGTCCGATACCAACTGGATATCTGTATGGTTCTTGGAAAAGTGCATGGGCAATGAGGAGTGATATTTTGCCAGAGAAAAGTCCACATGCTCCTAAAGTACTAATTCATAAAAGTAGGCGCCTTCGATATTGATTCATTAATCGTCAAGATTCCACCTGAACTGCTTATTGTCGCCAGATCTAGGAATGAGGTATGAAGCAAGTGTATAGCAGAGGACAAGGGTGCGTTGGACAGATGGGCAGTTGAGTGTTATTGAAAGAATGTACACTTTGGATGTGGAGTAGCAGCAAAATAGACAGGAATATCCACGGTTAAGAAAAAATGGATGACTTTGAGTAAATTTTCCACTGAGATATATTGGAAACCGCCGATTAGGAGTCAGAGTACTGAGCTCAATAGAAACTTGTGGTTGACTGAAAAGGAACTTAGCCCAAACCACCAGCCCACCAGCCGCGTCACGTGCCATGTGACGGGTCGACGTCATTTGACGACAAGCCACCGATATGTTTTCTAACTCTTCTTTTGTCCTCACTCTCTTCTCTCTTCTCTCTCACCTTCCCCCGTTTGCACACATCTGCCCCATCTATTGACTGCTCCCACTCGCCCTTGCCCATTGCCCAACGTCCCTACGTTCAGCTTTTCTTCCTCGCAAGAGAACAAGCTCCGCTCCCAAGCCTCTCTCTTCCTCTCAACTGCCACTTTCCACAAGCTTCTCCTCGCTCCCACGCATTCTTATGCCTTGTTTCCATCCAGCAATCTCGGATCATCTGCACTTTTTTAGAAAACGCCATCCTTTAGTTGCTCTTTCCTGAATAGCAACTATTCCACTTGAACTTTTGCCCATCGTTCCCCCACCCACGTTAGCCCAAAACGTCGCATCCACTGGATATTCGAAATCTCTCCCGAAGACTCGATTCTACTATATCTTAACTCTTTCCCCCCCGCTTGAATCCTATCCAACATGGCTAATCTTAACATTGGCGGTCAAAGCGACGATGCTTTCTACCGGTACAAGATGCCCAAGCTCATCTCCAAGGTAAAATACCTTTCCCTTTTCTCCTCCCCCCTCTCTTTGCTAAAGGCTCAGGCGCAGTCGGAAGGAGAGGGGATTACGGCCACCTTTTTTTTTTTTTTTTTT